TGATTATTTTTGTAAACTACAAGACTATTATGTATGCATAATAGACTATTATATATGCAAATTTCATTCAGGGCACAAGGGCACACAATTATTTAGAGATTTTGTGCAAATAAAATAAAGCCATTTCTCCAGTGTTACTTGAGAAGAGTTGGGATTTAGGTTCCTACTTCAAAATTGATTGACAAGAACAGTAACAAAACCAAGATCAGTTCTCTTGTACAAATATAAAGCACTATGAATTGCAGAGTTGTGGCTATCAGGACTGTGTGATTCCCCTGCTGCATGCTCAGCAGTTCCTTCTTCCTTGCAATACAACATATTTTTCTCTTACCCAGCACAATCTGTAGAGCTCAAAAAGAAAATAAATACTGTTGTCATTGAGAGCCTTCTGCTGTGGCCAAGCTGCAGGGTTTAATCTCTGAGGAAGAACTCATTTGAGAGGAGACGTGCTTTGAGGTTTCCCTGAAACAGCTCCTCAAGTCTGTTTTTCCAGAGGTGGAGATCTGTGCCAGAACAAGTCCAGGTGCTGTTCCCCCAATCCCAGCTGTGCTTAGGGATCCCATGGAGCTGGAATATGGTCCCTGAATACCTTCCCCACAGGCTCCACACCTCGTGTCACTCCAGCCACACTGCACTGGGAGTCCAAAATGCAGGAGACTCACAGGGGTATTCCTTAGAGCAGAAATGTAAACCTTGGCTTTTCATCAGGAGGAAAGAATGAAGGCAAGAGAAAGGCAGTGTCCTGTTTAAGAAGATGCTCTGGGTGCAGCCAGATGTGGAGCTGGTTTTAGGCAATACTCACCTCTGCCTCAGCACAAGGAATGCAGAGGGTGTTCTCATGCTGTGCCTGCAGTTTGTTTTGTCTTACTGCCCAGGGCTGTTAAGTTTTTAGATCAGCTTAAATTTTAACTCTAGTGCTTCCAGTTAAAGTGCTTATTTTCTAAATGGAAAAAAACAGATTCAGGGGAAGGGAGAGTATGATTTCTTCTGATTCTGGCAAGTGGAGAAATTATTCTACATTAAAACTTCCTTGCCTAAAAATGTTAGATCATTATAGTTTTCGTCTTATTCTGACATTATTTCTACTGTTGGTAATCTGGAAGCTTCTTTGATTTTGTTCATCTGGATGAGCTGTAAAAAACTTATTTCATCCTTTCCTTTCATGACCAGAAGATCTTTTCCCTCAGGTGCCTGAGGTTCTTAGGGCCCTCAGTTGCTCTTGCTTTATAGTCATTAAAAACAACTCTTGTAATGTCTCTATAGCATTTGTTCTGAGGAGATGTTACCTTTTTGTAGCTAACAGATAAAATGTCAGGTTGCATGGAGCCTGGAGACACCTGATCTGTTGGAAGATGTCCCTTCCCGTGGCAGGGACTTGGAATGTGATGATCCTTCAAGTCCCTTCTGACCCCAGACCATTCTGTGATGCTATGATTTAATTGGTATTCTTGTAGTCAGGCTGAGTGCACCTTCACTTAGAATTTGAGAACAGCTTTGAAATAGGCAAAGTCTGCAGCTTCTGAGAAGCACCTGGTTCTTGCCAGAAACTGTACAAGACATTTAATCTCAGCTTTTAATTTTAGTTTCTAGGACACTGCAGATATTTACTACTTTGAGTAAAACCACGAATTAAGCCAGTCAGTTTCTGGAATAAGCATTTGTAAAAAGCTACTTACTCCCTTGTGCCTAGGGGAGCACTGTTCATGGGAGATTTCTTTATCAGGATTTAAAATTGAGGTCCCGAGTGCCTACAAAAGAAAGCAACATCTAGCTGGGCCTTCACAAGAGAAGTGAAAATGGTCCTTTTTTTTTTTTTCTTTTTGCCACTGTTTAGTCTGCATTTAATCTGCCAAGGCTTATGCAAGTTTAAATTGATTGAAGTGTTCTCATTTCCTGTCCTGAACATGTTGTGTAATAGCCTTCTTTAGCTTTTTTTAATATTTGCTCTGTCTCACTCCAGCACTGGTCGGTGAAGTAATTACCACATCAGATCAGTTGGTAGGATGCTTTGCAATCTGCCAGGCTGGGGTGTGATTAGACCCTGCCAGTGCAGTTTATAGGTCATAGGCAATAAGTGCAAATTAGTGGAGAAAGAGGCATCTTCACCAGCTGTTACCAAAGGGTACTGCTATGGTAATGTTCACGTTTCAGTCAGAAGACTTATTTTGAAACAAAAATATATTAATAGGTGCTATTGGTTTTGTTCAGAAAACTTTTCCAGATCTTCAGTCACAAGGTATACTGGTTTTGGGTTCAGTTTCTAAATGCTAGAAAAACAAGGGGTGACAATCTATCAGTTTAGAGATCTTTCCGTCTTTTGGTCAGTTTGGTGTCATCATCATCTAAACACAGCAGGCTGGACTGGAACAGATCCCTTGGGTCACAGCTCCCTTGTTTCTGCCTTTCACAGGCACTGTCATATTACCCTTTTTCTGAGTGCATTCAGCTGTGTCTGAGTACTTGGGGGTTTTGTCCTCATTTGGGAAACTTACCAAATGTTGCAATTCTGAAATGGTCTTGTGATCTTTTAAATTTCCCTTCTTGCTCATGTCCTGTAAAGGCAGTCAGAAAACTGTGCTGCAGGGATTAAGCCTAAAGGCAAGAGCAAAACTGGACTGTGCAGGTTAGACCAAAAATGTTGCTTATGTCTCCTAGAGGGATGTTATTCCTTCTTAAAGCTCTGCATTCTCAGAAACAAGCTGCACAAACATGAGATCAGAAATTATATGCTTGAATTAGCTAATGAATAATGTTTCCTGACAGCAGCAGCACGTAATCATATGCATTATACAAAGTATCAGACTGTATTTAGTACTAAATACTGCTTCTCCTTGGTCTCTTGTAAATCAGAACTGTCTCGATGTTAAAAGACAAACACGGATTCAGATTGCAGATTCAGATAATTTGCTCCACCTACTCAAAAGCCAGCTATTTCAGGAGAGAATTTTAGTGAGTTAGGAGCCCATCTCATATTTCCAAAAGGCATTTCTTAACCAGTTTCCAGTGTTCATCCTATCACTTTGTCTTCTTTAGGTAATACTTAAATCTATTAGAAAAGAGGGTCATCTATAACCTCCGAGGCCCCTTAGTGACAAGCCTCATTGTCAAAGGCAGGCACTTTGCCAGGAAACAGTGACTCCCAGAGAGAGTGTGCAAGGTTAGGGGGAAAGTGTACTATTGCCAGAGAAACTGTATTCCAAGTGGATTTCTGTGGAACAACAACAATATCCAGTGACTGGTTAAATTAGCCACAGATGTGTTTTCTAGAGCACTGTCCAAGAAGATATACAGTATTTTAAGGATTGGTTCAGGCATAATGATCTTCTGAAGTCAAATCAGATCCAAGCAAAATTGCATGGGTACCAGGGAAGCTTTAAAGGAATTCTGTAATATGATTCAGACAAGTAGATGAATCAGGCTGCTGCGAGCTGAACAAGGAGCACGTCGGTGAGAGATGAGGTAAGAGGACAGCGCAGCAGCCTGGAGGGAGCTTTGCTGTTCGGATCCGGGCTGTGGCGGATTGGCAGGGCCGGCGGGACGGGCGCGTTGTGCCCGCACCTGCCCCAAGGTGCGTGCGGAGCAGAACCTGTGCGGGGCTCCTCCAGCTTTCCCAGTGCAGGAACAGAACCTCCACGGGGCTCCTCCAGCTTTCCCAGTGTAGGAACAGAACCTCCACGGGGCTCCTCCAGCTTTCCCAGTGTAGGAGCAGCCTCTCCGCGGGGCTCGTTCCATCTTTCCCAGCTTTTCCGAACGCAGGAGCGCTCAGCTCTGCGCTTGCCGTCTCCGTTGTGTCTCGCTGTCCCCGAGCCGCGCCTCCGGCCCGGCAGCGCTGCCCATTCCGCGTCTTAAGAGCGGAGTAATTATCCTTAAGAGGATAATCTCCGCGCTGAGGGCAGTGCACTTACTAAATATTTGGAGAATTTTCACATGCTGAAATCAGAGTACAAGTGAAGGCTCTTGGACTTTTCTCATATGGGAGAATTTCGTCTTGGCATCACAGCTCGAGCAGCGGATGCGATTTCGGTCTGAGATGGGTGTTGAAAAGCTCGGCTTCCCTCCCGCAGACCAGTTCTGACTCTCATTTTTAAAGTTCAGATAAGGCAGTGGAAAGAAGCCCTGTTGAATTACAGATCTGCTTTATGATTTAAAGTTCTGGGGAAACATAAGCAGCTTAGTTACTGTCGTAGTTGGAACAGGAAGCAAGAAAAGCTTTTGTTGTATTCTCTGACCTATTTCTTTACTATGTTATTTACTTGAACTAAATTGGATATCATGTATTAATGTTGTCATCTAAAAGGTCCTGGAAGTATTCAGCCTAGAGTCTCTTTGTAATAAGCATTAATGGTAAAAGTTGAATTTACAAAATAGCAGCTGCCAAGTTTCAGAGGAGTTATAAATAAAAAATTTCACAATAGAAATGGCATATCTTGTGTATGAAAATTTTTCTCAATTGCTTTTTTCAGAGCTTTTTAAATGTTTTTAATGGTATTGGTGAAAATGTGAAAATGAATCTGTTTGGGTTTCCTTTGAATTTCCAGGTCTAGTTTCAAAGAGGAAGCAAATGCTGTGAATTTATTCACAGAAATATTATTTTCCTTCTTACCTCTTACCAACAATTTGTTTTAATAAAACAAATTTTATTGCTTTGCATCTACTGTGTCCAGTTTCATATCCTTTGAGGTCTGAATTCTGCTTCAGGAGTTTTGCACTTGTATTCTTAGGAATTTTTGAAGGTCACATGGAAGGCCATGTGTGTGTGTGCATGCATGCGTGTATGTCTTTGGACAGCATACCAATAATTAGAATAATTCCACAAAGTCATGGCTTTGCTTCAGGAGAACTTGCAAAAAATGAAACTTGACTCTGTTTTTAGGTATATTTGCTGATTTTTACCTATGGAAGCCAGACATCCTGAGAGTGGCAGAATGTGTTTGTTCTAAAACGTGAGTATTTTGAAAATGCTCGTACCTCTGGTGATATTTCTTCTCTCTTTTCAGGGTCTTTGTAAACAGAAGTTTAGCCATGGAAAAAATAAAGTGCTTTGGTTTTGATATGGACTATACACTTGCTGGTGAGTATCTTCTTAAGTTTTTTGAACACTGACTTGGTTTGAAATATTGTTTCTTGCTGAGCAAAGAACAGCAAAAAGCTGATTGAGCACCAGTTAACAGGTGCTGCTTCAATTAGTAAATGTATCTTTCACTATTCGTTGCAATTTCATTTTAGGAGTTTCCCTTAAATTTTTAATCTGCAAGCTGTATTTGGTCACAAGCCATGTTAGTTTGGTACAGTTTCAAGTGATTATGGGTGTTGATAAAACCAAAGCTTAATAAGTCTGCTTCCTTAGATTCCACTGTATTTTGACAATACCCCTTGTGCATGCTTGACTTTGAGTAACAAGATTATTTCTTTCATCCTTGTTGTACGTAGCAGGCTACACCTTTGGCCAGTAGGTTCTCCTGTGTCCTGGGAGAGTAATTTTTGAATAGATTTTCCTCTTTCCCCTTTTTGGGTTAGCCACATCAGTGACCCATTTCAAGAAGAGGCATGGCAGGAGGAGTGCCTTGTGTCAGCTGAACAAGTTAATTCATAGAGCTTTGCCCATTCTTTGTGACAGATAAGCTTTGGGAGGTTGCATAAGATCTTTTAGTTTCATAAAATTGTTTGCATGACTTCTCCATCTTTCAGATACTCAACAGGCAAGTTCCCTGAGACTTTTGATGAGAGGAAATAAAGCTACATTTTCTTCATAGTCAGACTTTCATGTTATGCATTTTAAGGAAGGAAAAGATAAAAAGCTCACTTCCATTTTCCTACGTTATAGCATCACACAGGCTGTAACTGAGGATGTCATGTATCATCCTGACTTCTTTCTCTTTACCACTTCCAAGGTTATGGATAAAAAGTTTCTATCGCCATTAATAAAGCTGTTGTGTATATGAACTGAGAAAATGTGAGGTAGAGTGTCAGGGTCACCTAATAATAGGTTAATGCAGCATGTTAGCTGTGGTCATCTGGTTACTGTGTACTGGGAAGCAACGAGAGATGAGTAATGTGGCTGGGGACAGTGTGAGGGTCAGAGTGGGGGTCAGAGGCTAAGTGAAGGGCAGAAAGGTTTCCATAGCTCATGGTTCAACTGCAAGGAGCAGTTTTGGAGACCGTGGCAGGTAATTGTAGTTTATATTTAGATCAGTTCCATGTGTTCTTTTTTCTACAAGGAAGTTGTTACATATGGAAAGGTTTGGTTGTTCCACACCTTATTGATACATCTGTTTAAAGTTCTTGCCACTTTTTAAGTAATGAAATGTATCATTGTTAATCTGTGCTGGATGTGACTGCAGGCACGTGCTTTCTGTTTGTGCTTCCCAGCTGTGACAGTTTTACGGCAGTGCTTTTAAGGGGTACATGAAAAACAGTTGTTCAAGAATAAATGCTTAAAAAAAGAAAAAGAAAAAGTTGTGGGTTTCACTTCAGTAACAGAAAAACAACTTCTGTACCTTTTGTAAAGGAAGGGGCAGCACTTTCCAAGGACCCAGGTGATCCCAGTGGGGCTGGTGTGGAGCATGAAGTTTGTTGCTAATTTTCATCCCGACAGAAAGAGAACTTCAGCACTGTTCATTTTACTCAAATGTTCCTTGTTCCTGTAAACATAGAGCAAATGTTTTATTATCCACAAAATGATGCTTAATTTGATGAAAGGAAAAAATGTGAATGTTTCAAGCATCCTAAAGCAGTACGGGGGACATAAAAATATGGGGATTCCAAAGCTGAAAGACTACAGTGCTCCAGTTAAGCAGGCAAAGTCAGTGCCTTTGGAGGAGTTGAGTGACAGGGTGTGAGGCAGAAAAAGAAAGGGGAAGTGGTCTGAGCAGAAAACTGAAAATCTGGACCCCTCTGGAGTAAGCTGCTGTCCTGTGACTTCTTCCATGGTACAACAGAGATAATAGTTGCAGATCATTTCACTAGCAGTTGTGAGAATGTGATTAGGTTGGAAAGCCTTTTGCAGATCAAAAACATTATGACTGGTAAGTACTATTTCCCTTTTTTCCACTCAAACTGGAAATTAATCTTTGAAATTACCTGTTTATTTACTTATGTCTTAGAGTCATCCTTTCCTCTCTATGTGGGCTTTTATTTTCTGACCACTATTAGCTATTTATAGCTTGAATACAAGAAAAAATACTTATCCACTGCAGAGTCTTTAAGGAGTGCAGTGTTAGAATATGATTACAATTATAATAAATTAATTGGAAATGATAATGAAGTGGGACAAGTGAAGTATTACAGTAATATGCTATAATCAGTGCATTCATGAGACCCTGTTGTATTTTCTGATTACTCATATTATCCTTTACCCACTCTTTCACATGGAGATGCTACTTGTCTTGAGTAAAAAAAGAAAGAAAAAAAAACAATGTGGAAAGCCAGTTTATGTGTAATTTAACATCTGGAAATGGTATCTGCATAGCAGATGGTGCATGCTGAGCAGAAGCCTTTTGGAGACCATTCAAAACACGTAAATAGGCCAAGGGAAAAACAGAAGCCTCTCCAGTATCATTAGCCAGTATCATCTAGTTTTCTGCATTTGTACTTTCAGACATCGCTAGGCCACTTTTCTGTGAAGTTTTTTAAAATATCCCAAGCACAATCTTCCTATTGAAAACTTAAGGCAGGCAGAGTCATTGACCCTGCCAAAATCTGTATGTGACATCCCCTTCTGTCGTGTACTTTCACATCAGAAATAGACTGATGAGAGTCATACATTTGCCAGCTCAGAAGAATTATTATTTTGATACACATTGAATTACCTCTCTTGTAAAGAAGTACTCCTGTCTCATCTTCTTTCCAAATCAATGACCACTGGTAGTGCCAAAAGTCTTCCTTAGGAGGTGGTTCAGTACCAAAAAAGTCAGAAGCATTTAATGTATTTTGAACTTTAGAACCTTGAGACAGTTTTATTCTTGCACCTTATGAATATAAGGACACAGATCTACTTACCATAACCATCTTTTCTGTCTAGAATAATATTAATTTTGGAAGGGACATGGCATTTCCATTTTGAAGTCTATAGTAACAGCTACCATGCACACGCTGCAGTGATCGTCTTCTTCTACCAGCATGTCTGAGAATGTCAGCTGAGAGCAGTTTTAGTATCATCATCTTACATTACACATAAAGTACAATTTCATGTGTTATTTTATAGAGTCGTATTTCTTCGAGTTATTACATTAAAGAACCACTTAACTCAGAATTTAAAAGAATCCGAGGCTGTCTGATACAGCATTTCCACAGAGGTTTTGTTTGCTTTCAAGCCAAAACTGGGTTAAACTTCGAATTTTTGTAAATAGCTCCTGTGTTCCCTGCTTGTGCTTGTCTCTTTCCTTGCATAGGGTTGAGAAATACTGTTAATGGTTGGGTTGGGCAAACAAAGTCTTTTTGTGTAGAAGAGCCTGAACGTTTTAGCTTTTTCTTCCAAGAAATTATGGACCTTAAATAGCTGAATTTGTAATCATGGTGATTACATCTAGAATTAATTTTGACTTCTGGGAAAATAAAATGAAAGCAAATTGAAATAACTCTCATAGGTTTTAGATTTCTTGTTTTCCCATAAAGGATTGTTGTTGTATTCTTATGGGGTGAATAAGATCTCTTACATGTGTGGAAACTCCCAAATCTCCCTAGGTTAATGTTCTGAATACACTAATACTAGAGGCACAGAAATCTGTGTTAAACTGACTGTCACCTTCCTATTCAGTCTGTTTGGGAATCACATTTAGTGCATAAAATAACACTTTTTAAGGCTAGGTGTTACTGGGAGGCAAGTGGAAGGAGCACGAAGAACAGCAGGGGTTGACTGTGGTTTGTGTGCTTCGTTAAGTAGTTGCTGTTTAAAGTGCTGCAGCAGTTGACATAAGCAAGAGTCATCAGCTATTTCAGCCCTTGCTGTTGGTGGAGGTTAAGACAAGTTTCTGTGATGTTATGCAGCCCTTCATTCCCTGCCTCTGACCTTGCTGCCTGCCAGCCTGGGAGCGGGCCCTGCCAGTTCCCTACGGTGCCCTGGCTCCTTGGGAAGCCATGGCATTACACCCAGGGCTGAATTTGTTGTCAGGGCAGAACTGAGAATTATTGAACAATTCCTGTTTAAATTTGAGAGATTTAAGATCCTTTATTAGTTATTTTTTGTTTGCTAAATAGTAGTTTCATTTATTATCTGCATGATTAATCTCTGCTTATTCATCCAGCCAGAAGATCAACAGTTAGTAACAATTCTGGTCTGCCTGCCTTTTTTCACCAGTACTGTCAAAACTGCCTGTGCTTTGGTAAAGGAAAATGTTGCATGCAATCCAAAAGATTCAAAGCCTTCTCTGTTTTGTGTTTACTGGTAAATGCAGAAAGTAAAATAAAGGTATGTCAGTGGAAAGTCTTCACTGTGGCACTCACATGAGCCTGAGGAGTTGGTGACACCCATTGGAAATGCAGCAGAGAGAGATCGGTTTCACACAACATTTTATTTGGCTGCTTCCTACTCAGTGTGAGCTACACTTAATTACTAGATCTGGATCCAAATAATACAGGAGGCCTTGGCATTACCAGCTCTTAAATGGGACGGGCTGCACAAGGTGATGGATAGATGTTCCTTGACAGGAGCAGAGCTAAAGCAGTGGGGTTCCCAAACTGCCTGTAATTTCACACTGGGCCATTGGCAGATGGAGAGGGATAATAAGAATTACAAACTCAATTGTGCTTGAAAAGATTCCTCTGTGACTACTGTTCTTCTCCAAAAGTTACGGCCTTGTTGAAAGTTTTATCTTCTGTCTCTGAAGTAGATAAAAGGTAATATCAGTAGACAGGATGCTTTCATTTGGAATGCTTTTCCTGTGCTTAATTCATTGCTGCTTCTATGTTCTCCAGAAATTGATAATGAAATTATCAATGGCTGCTGAAAACGGTTTCAATAAAAAAGGAGGGGAAATGAGGCTTGAAAAATACTGGCTTTATTGTGTGCAAATGTGATTAATGCAACATAACCTGATTGGAATGTGGCTTGTGTCCTGGAAACGTTGCCAATTT